TACCGATTGTCCGGATGACCTTAGCATTCCTGAAACCTGCTACTTCTGGTACTTTTTCATGTCATTATCATGTACATTTCAGTTTAAGACAAGTAATACAAACACGCGAACGATTTTCCTAGAGCATCTATACCGATTGTCCGAGCGGTCCAGTTCTTGATATTTGTTATTTCTTATACTTTTCCTATCTTTATCATTTAATCTCCAGTCCGAGTAACTGGTACGAACATACAAAAAGGTCCCCTGAAGTATTCACACCCTCTGTCCGGCGGTCTTGGTATTTTCGGTAATTTATATTTTGGAGAACCTTCATCAATTACCTCTTAGTCTGAGATAAATGCAGAAAGGTTTTCCTGGAATACCCAAGCCAGTTATCCGGGCAGTCATGATATTTCTGATACCTGATATTTCTGATGGTTTTCGTGCCTCTACCATTTGTTCCTCAGTCTGAGTTGAATGGCACGAATACGCAAAGACTTCCCCTATTGTTTTTGCGAAGAAAAACCGGTAGCGACAAGTCAAATAAGAATCACTATGGATTTTTCCAGATTTATTATTGTCACTGTTCCAATAGATGATTGTTGATAGATTTTGGGCCGAACTTTTTCGGCTCTCCGTGGACCGAACGCAATGGGACATCCTGCATCCATCGTTGCTTTCCATCACAGTTCTCGAAGTTCCGTCTCGAAAGAGTGGCACCAATGGCAAAGCTATTCAGTTCATTGCGAAAAGTGAAACCAGAATCGTTAGCGAACAGATACTGGAAACATGTAAGTTTTGGTTTCTGCACCGTTTTGTTATTTCTCACTGTAATGAGGATTCATTTGCATATATGCAAATTAAAGGCCAAAGACTCGAAGAAGTTAAAACATTTTCCTGTTCGCTATTCGTAAGAGGCAAAAGCACTTCGAAGTATTCCGAGGGATGGCAAATGTTAACAGTAACTGTCCTCTGATTTCAAAATGGCTTTCCCTCTCTCGAGATTTGCTTACAAATAAACTAGTGGTGTTTTGATTAACAAATGTTGGAATGTGTTTTTGTACTCAGACAGAGTGCGCCCATTGAAATTACTTCGGAATCCGGATCGTTGTTCGCATTTTATTCTTTGAAGGACGTGGAATCATTTGTTTCTTGCATACAAATGGCATCAACGTGAACCACTACTACCGGAACCTTAGAAGGGATAGACGTCGCAAATCCTGGTAGTTCAGATTCGAGGTATGGGGCTTTTGTCAGTTCTGCAGCCGCAGTTCTGCAGCAGATTGCTTTTCACTTCCAGATTTATAGAGAATTGTGGATGAGGTTTTCAAAACAGAGTAGTTTTTCAAACAGCGAAAAATAAATGTGATCCTTAAAATTCAGACTTAAAAGAGGCCGAAAGCTACTTGCTAAAAAGACCTAATTTATCTTTTCGGATGACTTTGAAAGATCGCCTGAAACGCAAAACATGAAAAATTGCATTGCAAATATTCGATAACTTTAACCTTTAATAGTTTGGCCGTCTGCTGTTCCATCGTAGCGTTCCTCCTCGATATTCGCATAGCTACAATTTTTCCATTCTTTTACCTTTTATAGCCCTTTCATCCATTAAATTCCGTGAGGTTCAAGCAGAACTTTTCATCGCTTCGTCGCTTCCCTGCTTCCTCTAGAAATTGCATAGGTACCATTCAGTAATCTGCATTTTCCATCTGTTGTTTCTCATTCTTGTTACGTGACGTCAAATTGCCCAGTTAACATTGTTTATGCCAAAGTGGACATGATCCAGATTTATTAAAAATGTGTTCCTAAATCGTTCATATCTAACCCACATCGCATTCCATAGTTCAGTTGCTTACTGCTAACTTTTTCTGCCCGGCAAGCATGATATTCCATGTTTCACTTCCATAAATGGTGATACAGAATGATGTTTTGTAAAGTTGCCATTATCCGAATTGACAGAAATTTACGGGTAGACACTCTACCGTAGTTTAGAAAGTTGGTGTCTCTTTCTATCGGAAAGCACACATCAACTACGGTTGCAGTACGAAAATTAGCTGCCTCGTAAAAAACCTTGGTTTTAGCTATTTTTTATCTCCAGAAGATTGTGTAAAAGAATGAGCTAGTGTTCTGCAGGCAAAAAACCTGCCATACGAGTAGATGCCACTCTTTTGTGATGGATGAATTAGAATAGCTGGAGGATGTAGTACATCTCAAGAAACCCTGACCTGTGTAATGCTCATCAATAACATTGAAAGCACCAGACAAACCTTCGGACGGCTTCGATGACCTTAATCTGTCAATTTTTTTGATAACAAGACCGCCCAGGTATCAAAATGGGTATTTCATGTTGATAATGTTACTGGCTATGCCAGACTCTTTGATGTTGGAAAGCATACCTCCAGTTAGCACCCACCACCTGTTTGATGTGTGTTTGCCACCAATTTGAAAGTCACCCGAGTGGTTGTTTACTTTCTCGCGGGTATTTTTTGTTTTTATGAAAATACGAATATATTTTTGACATCCTCAAAAAATAAGAGAATTTAAACGATTTTTTCAAATTTTTAAACGAAAGTAAAAACAATAAAAGTATGCTCATTTTAGAAATTATTTATAAATATACGTATTAATTTTATATGAATCGAATGGGATCTAAAGGCCTAATGCGCTGCTCCCGACTTTTGGAAGCGTCACAATTATATTACTCTAGCATGAGATCTTCGTACCGATTGTCTGAGTAAT